ATTTCATATCATTTAAACTCCCACATTTAGACCACCTGCATATCCCAGAATCTATTTTGATAAATAAAAATTACACACAGTAAATGAAATCATTAATTAATAGTACATTTCTTTATCTTACTCAGTTTACTAGGTGCAACACACAATTAAAAAGAATACACAAATCTTTTGTCTTTATGAAAGTTTTTTTTTTTAAGATTTTTATTTCCAAAAGCAAATATAATCTGAATTACAAGCTTTATGAGAACTACATTTTAATTTACCATATTTAATTTCTAGTGTTAGAGAAGTTTAAAGAGACTTGTATACAGAGCGCTGCTGCTTTTTCTGGCTTTTTCTCATGTTTAAATGTTTCAGATCACGGAGAAATATACAAGAATCTACGGAAGAGGATTAGGGCCACTGAAGAAAAAAACAAAGTTAACTGATTTTTAAATTTTATTTCAGTTTAACATGGGAAAAAAGTCAGAATTCTGACTTTAATCTCAGAATTCTGACTTTTTTCTCAGAATTCTGAGATTAAAGTCAGAATTCCGACTTTTTTCCCATACTATACTGAAATAAAATTTAAAAAATCAGTTAACTTTTTTTTTTTTTCAGTGGCCCTAATCCTCTTCCGTAAGAATCAGATTAAAAAAAATTATAATAATAATCATATCAGCTGAAATTTAACAAGTAAGAGCTTGGGCCACACTGAGGCGGATTTAATGTCAGACCCATTGGTTATAATGGAAAAGTGTTAATAATAATAATACTAAAAAAACACTTAAAAGGAGCCTGTCAGACAACATGAATTAGGCTAAGATATTTTAAAATGATTCCTTAATACCATCATATAAAGAAATTAAACAATAAATGCAAAACCGTGTTTAATATCTGTGTAAAAAGGGCCCCAGAGCCATTTCTAAGGTGATGGGGGCCCCACAACAGGAGCAACTATCTACATATTGAACTGAGTTATGAATCTGTCAAAGACTGGCTGGTCTGCAAACATTTCAAATGTGCCTTATCTACTTGTCCAGGAGGTCATAAAAGAAAAACTTAAGATAGAACAGATAAAGCATATTGACAGACAGAATTCTTTTTTTTTCTTTTTTATTTGGTATAATAACTGCACTGAATAGGTTTCTCTGTGAGCTAAAGACATGTTTTATAGTCTATATACTCCAGTTAATGATTAATCAATTACTAAATTAGTTGACAACTATTTCAAAAATTGATTAATTACTGACTTGCCTCCTTCAGGTCAGGAATATTTTTAGAGTTGTGCATCTCTGAAACAGTTGTTGCAATAAATAATACCCCACTTAATTTCACAAAAAGAACATTATAGATGGAGTTGATAGTGCCCTTTCGCTTTGTTGAAAAATTGACGACCAATTTCTCACCATTACTGCAGGCGAATGACTTTTGCAATCTCTGTAACTAAGAAGTTGGTCCAAACATCATTTCTAAAGGCTTATGGTTAGCTGGCACATGACATTACAATTTCAAGGATTCTTTTTTTCTTCTTTTTTAATAAATTATTTTGGATCTGATCATTAACTGTATGTTTTGATTTAAAAGCCAGTGTATTTCAGCTCGGGTTGTTTACCTGAAGTCATTGTCCTACAGGAAACTAAAGCTCTAAACCAGTATTGAGCCTTTTCAGCCTTAGAAAGGTTTTCTTCGAGGATTGCAGAGTAGTTAGGAAAATCATGGAATGAAGTAAAGCCCTCTGACTGTACATTATGATTCAGCCCTCACAATGCTTTGCCATGGTGTATTCAGGGAGCTGGTTTTCCATCAAATGGGTGTCGGTCAAAGGCCAGTGGTTCCTGCCATTTAATCTGCCTCACATTTCAAACTTACCGTTTATGCACCCATCTAGGTCTATACCCAGGTTGTTGTTTTTTAACCATACAACTCGACACCATTTATCAAATTAGTAGACTTCTGAAAACAAGTCATTTTTTTGCACTTGAGATCACTTAAAGATATTATTTAAGATTAAAATATAAAAGGGTGGTAAATATAAATGAAAACTTTTCAGGTTATTATGTGAGACATTGGAGATATATATATATATCTATAGATATATATATCTCCCCAAAAAAACACTAAACAAAATTTAAAACTCGTGGTTGTGCTGTAATTTATTCAAAACATTAGAGTTATAAATACTTTTGTAAGGGACTGGGTGTTCAGGTTCCTACTAAATACCTCTTAGTTAATATTCTGGCTAATCAGGATTTTCCAACAGGGGTATTTCAGGTTTGTTGACGACCTCTTGTAAAAGCTTGAAATTTCCCATTAAGAGCGCCAGAACTAAGCTTTTGTTCAAAGTCTTTGGTATTCAAACAACTTGCCAACACCTTCTTGAACCACAAACCCATTAGGAAGACCACAGCTTATATGTTGTTACCAGGCAGGGTTTATAAGTGTGAAATGATTCATACTTCTAAAATATTAAAAAAATCCACAAAACGTTTTACTTTCATATAAAAGGTATAAAGTATAATAATTGGTCAAGTCTTTGATGCAGCAGACATGCGAGTTACGCAAACACAGCTGGCAGCTTAGCAATCAGATTAACGTAAACAACAACAGCCGGTGTAATGCGTACCCAACATGTTTCAAAACGGTCTTCAATTATTTTACTAGAAAGATTAGAGGAACAAAAAGTTACATTTTCCATAAAAATGCTACAGAAAAAGCGGTGAACCGACTGGAAAGAAAACTTTTTTAAACTAAACAACGCAGGAATGTTAGCATTAGCTTCTACAACTCTCCCATCAGTTGTTAGCTCACCGGTAGCTTCAGAGGGAAACCTACCTGGGTGGCTGCAGTCTCTGGGCTCTTTATATGGTAAGAATATTCTTTGTATATGTCTTCTGTTGTTTTTGAGGAACAGTTAACTATAACGATCTATAAACAACTTAAAGTAGTAAAAAATAAAACTTTAAATCTTCTATAACTAACTGGCGGCGGCTGGTTCGGTTGGTCTGGGTCCTTTGGTTCTCTCCGGGTGATGATCCTGGTTTGGGACGTCGCAGCGCTACGTCATCACGTAAAGTGACCCATCACATTTAGCTTTATGGGTGATGTATGGCAAGCCGTTATGAAATACAACCATACCAACATATGTCGATAAAATAAACCAGTCCATACAATAACACGATTACTTGTTTCAGCTGAAAATAACACTAAAAAAGGTAACTCTGGTAAATCTAATAGTCAATTAATGCCAAAGTTTTTTTTCTCTCTGAAAAAGATTTTTATATTCTATGGTTCCTTTTTGCTTCCTAATTATTTAGCATATCTGAATATTCTAACAGTCATTTGAGGGTTGAAGGATTTTGTGTAGTGTTAAACTTTCAAAAGGTATTGAGCAGAATTTTAGCAAAAAGGCTAGGAATATTCCTGGAGGTGAATGTACCAAATAGAGGCATTTAGAGGATACTTAGATCTATGTACCATTTACATACACATAAGTGTTTACTGTAGAATTGAGGCCATGCCCACCATCATTCACCTTGAATTCTTCCATAGCATGCACTGGCAGGCTTGGACTCACTTGGCCCTCGCACGCTGAAATTAGGACTGGCCCTCCGGGCCCAAAGCACCTACCTGTGACAATAAATAAATCAAGGATCTTAAGAAGTAATACAATGTTAACTACTTTAATGATGCATGCAGTATGTATAGCCCTTCCTTAGTTGCCATGCACATTCTTGTGACGGTTTGCATATGGTGTCATTTTCTATTTCTTCAAACTGTACAATCCTTGCAGCAAAACAAATTATAATAAAACTGAAATACTTTCTTTAAACTAAACTATGATGTTCCTCTTATATTTGGTGAACATGTGTTTGAATATTTTGTAAAAAATATGTTGCAGTACATGATGGGGTTTTGCATTTGTTTGCATTGTTCCATTTCATTGCCCACATGCCTCCTAGACTCACAGTGAATGTTTACACACCGCTGAGCTTTCATGTATTCATTCTTGAAGAAGTGCCTGTCTGCCTCTATATTGTATTGTTTTATGTTGGAGGTCCATAAATGGGCCGGTGTAGATGAAAAAATTGCCAGGGCCGAAAATCGTTCCCAGTCCGAGCCTGCGCACAGGTGATCATTAGCACTACTGAGGCCACATTTCTGAAAACAAGAAAATTAAAGCCAAACATTTCAGTCTGTTTTCCACATAAAGTTTTTATTATGTTTATGATCTCAGAGTCTTGTATTACATTTTGCTCTATTGTACTTAGAATCTAGTTTTTCTCTGTTCTGTACACCGCTGCACTGCAAGAAAAGAATTTCCCGCAAGGGATTAATAAAGTGATTATGAAATGTTTATAGTTTAGAATATTTCCAATATTTTACTTTCAATGAATAGTTTCAGAAAATTATGTACTCTTTTGCTCTCCTAATGACTTCAAAATTATGGCTCTCTAACTGTGTGCCAATAGCGCACCTTGGAATGTCTGTAGAGGAAAGAAGCACAAATAATGAAAAAAAGATGAGCAGTTCAAGTTAAAACCTCAAAAAAAAGGTATAGTAGAGATAATTTCCAAACCATGAGTGATCGACAAACAATGCCAAGTGTCATTAAACAAAATTAATTACAGATCGCTAAAAAGTCTAGAATTTAGTCACAAAGGGAAGGAGAACTAGTTTTCCAGTACAAGTGTAAAAATGAATGGCTTGCCATACCTGGACACCACGCTATGGCTGAGGTACTGAAATAGACAGCCTGGGGAAATACCCTGAGTGTTTTAAAACATATATCTAAAATAACTTTAATGTGACTTTAGGCAACTTCAGGACAAAGAAACATTTGACATGTTTATTTTACACGATCAGCACCTTTGAATTCTCAAAACAAACACAAATTACTTTTTGTTTTTTATTAAAGCTGCTAAATCACACTCTGTGAAATGTAAAAAAAAGAGAAAAAAGACGAAGTAATTTTTGAAAAAAGAATTTAAAAATCACAAACAAAAAACAAACTTAGCGTTCATTGTTAAAATCTGTACACTTTAGTTTTTCTCTGTCCAGTTGTTCAGTAAAGGCCTCCTTTCATGAAGCCACCTCAGAGATGTGGTGAATATTAGACAGCGTCAGCTGTGCCTCCTGTGCTGGATAGAAACGTCTGGAGCGAAGCCACAGCCTCCCAAACACCCCGGTGATGAACAGCAAGATGACCAGCAAACCTCCAAGGACAAGTGTCTCTACTGGAGGGATACCGCTGGGATCTACAGGGAAACGTGCGTGGTTGAAACATCCTCCATATGAACTCTTTTAACTTTATAAAGTGACTAAATTACAAAGATTGTAAAGCTACGCACTCGGATTTGGTTTTTCACTGGCAGTGAAAAGTCGTCTTATAGGCCCGTAGGACACAGTGTGGGATAATGGGATGTCTCTCCGTATCCTCAGAAAACCATCTGCAGTAGTGCAGTTCTGTGCAGCAAATGTAGAATAAAAACAACTACAGTCATTAAATTGGATGAAACATTTCCAGTTTTAGGTCACTGTTATAGTAAAAAAAAGCTTCTAAAGATAACTTTATTTTATTTTTTTCTTTCTTCCATACAATGCTTTCTTGTGTACGGAAGAGGATTAGGGCCACTGGAAAAAAAAAAAAAAGTA